TAAATAAATAAATAAATAAAATCTGTGTTCAGGGGGGTGATGATTGTACCCAATGTTCAAGGTTGTGTGATCATTGTGTGTGGCCAAAAAGAAAATGACTGCTATTATGCTTGTACCTCAGTCCCTCAAATCTGTTTGAACTTATCCCATAATTGCATTCACATCCACCATCTCAAAAAGCTAAATATGAATAGCATACTAGGAGTCAGCTAATTGATCAATGACTGTAAAAAATGATGAGCCAGCTTGATGTAGTGATTAAGGCACCCATCCCCCCATACATATTTTTAGAATGTGTGCATTTCTCTGGCCATTTGCAAAAGGAGGAAATGTATGTGCTTGATTCAAGGGGAATCTATTTGGCTGCCAAGACTGCATTCGTTCTTCAAAAGTTGTGGCGGTACTCCGTAAAGCAAAAAGACAGCACAGTAGTGGCATTTTTCACAGCCACATGTTTTTTATAATAGGTCTTTGCATGGCTATTGCTGCAGCAGCAAAGTATGGGAATGCAACTGAATCCTTGGAACTCTTCCCAGCATGCAACAGTCCAGGCAAAGTGAAGTGGGGGGATTTACAAAGTACCACCTCTCTCTTTTTCCAGCAGCCAGCAGTACTAGACTATCCCCCCCACACACACACACACACAATTTTCAAGTTCTGGAGGGAGCGGAGAGAGGGCCAGGAGGGACAAAAGTTCTTGCCAGTGGGGTGCCTCTCCACAGCTCAGCATTACAAGTGCTGTATTGCACAAAAAAATGCCAGTTTGGCTCAGCTTTAAGCAACGTCAGTGTAGTAAGATTACGGAGGTCTGGAGCTGGTTTGAACTGTTCTGAACTGGCGCAGAATCCTTGCATGGAGGTGCCTTTATCCAGTAGAACAGTCTGGCAATTCTCAAAAGTGGAGTTTCTTCCTGTTGTGTCCTAGTTCTTGCTTGAGTAACCTAATAATTCATAATACTGACTTATCTTGTTTCTTTAACTTTGTTAATTTAGCTAATGTATTTTTTTACTGCTTCCTGTGGAAAAACTCCTTGAAACGGATTATAAATCATAATGTGTAATAATAGGAAAAGTACATTTAAACAGTGTAAAATCATATTAATTTAAAAGGGGAAGGAAAGAAGAAAAACAAAAGCAAAAACTATTGATCACTGATCCACATTTATATAGGGAAGACCTGGGTGAAGAAATGTGTCTTCAGTAGACCTGACAGAAATCCTGATGGCTTCCTATGGCTGTTACAACATTGGGAACAGAATAAAGTGTTATTCTCTGAGACTCTGCAAGTAGAAGCACATTTTAACTATTCCTAATGCTCAGCTTGTGGAGATGATTAAGGAAAAGTGCACAGCTATATCAAAAGCTGCTAAGAGAGTAAAGAAGATTAACCCTGTTGCTCTCTTTCTCTCCTGCAGGAGACCATCTGTTAGGATGACCATAGCTGGTTCTGTTGCAAAACCTGGCTCGAACACAGATGGAAAGGAGTTGAACATATATCTAGTTGTAATTTGTGAAGACAGATGTTAATATGAAAATTTAAAACAATAAATTATTAGTTGTCTTCCATGATTTGGGGCTAGAGCACTACTTGAATCTCTGGTCTCTGGACTAAAATGCATCAGGATGAATATATAAACCAATTATAGATATTGTCCCAGTTACTCTAAGATCAGAATATAAGCAGGGTGGACAACCTACTAGATTTCTGGGAATCATAGGGGTACGGAAGTGATGTAATGATTGAGATGTTCAATCTTTCATTGGAGGGATTGATTTTTCTTTTTTCTTTAAGCTATATATTTATATTGGCTCAGAAATCTGAGAATTGAAGTATAATACATTTGGAGGGGACCAGGTTGGAGAAGCTTGTCTTCATTTTCTTTTTAAAAAGCAAATAATTACCCTACTGAAGGTTGGTGATTTATTACCGAATGTTGGCCCCTGATTCTTGGGCAGCTTGGGAGTTGACAAGATGGAACAGAAGAAGCCATATATGAATGTCAAGATGCCAATCCCAGGGCTCAGGATTTAGAATCCAGGGTGATAGAACAGGCCTTGAAGTCATTTTGGTGAATGTGCCCAAGAGACAAGGCCTTTGAAGTGACTGCCACAGCTTTGGAATTCCCTCCCTTCTTCACCAGTTGAAATATATTAGCTTTATTTTCAAGTCTATAGTTAGACTGCAACTCCATAAAATTGCAACTGCCTGGGAATAATTCCCATTGGATTTACTGGGAGTTACTTCAGAGCAGATATGTCTCAGAAGCAAACTCCATTAATGTATAGCACTTTTATTCTTGCTATCACTAAAGATGCACTTGACTTTATTTTTATGTGCTGTATTTTGTTTTCTCAAAATTAATTGTGTTTTGAGGGTTTATACCAGCATTATATGAGTTTACAGTTATGTTCTATGTAGTTCTGTGTTGGCATGATTGTCTTGCTGTTAGGATGATTATGTATTTGGATTAATCTGGGGAATTTTCATTAGTCCCTTATATGCTACAGAGAATGTGGAGGCTTTTTCTGGCTCCTAAATGGATAGTAGATGCCATTTGTTAGAAACAGTTGAAAATGATTTGGTAAACTTACTATCATTTGTCTCTCAAGAAGCTTGTATACTTATCTCTTGTTTTTACAAATTATTAACCAGCTGTCTCTGAAAAACTTATTTAGGGCACAAGCTTTTTCCTGATTAGGAGAGTTACCTTGCTTCATCTAGAGAAGGCCAAATACTTGCCTACCCCCTCATTTTTATTTGTTCAAAGTAGATTGCACTGTTTCATTCATTCATGCCTCTTCTAAGTTCAGGGTGTAGTCATCCTCAGTTTTATGTTTCACTGTTTAGTGACTTACTGGTGACTTTGTTAAAACTAGCTTTTTCAAGCTGGTGACCCCCAGAAGCTGGAGAAGTTCCCTTAAGCTTGAGGAAAGCTGCTTTACAGTATATTTCATATTCCTTTCCATCTGCCTAACCTCATACTTCGGACAACAAAGAACTTGGCCTTAAGGCAACACTGAAGAACCTCAACCTTGATGTTGAGAGAGTGGCTGACTACAGTGAGCTTGTCAAATCTTTCCTTCCCCAAGTTGGACTAACTGCAAGTAGCTTCTTCCTGTTTTGTGAGGTAGCACTGAAAACTCCTGAGCAGTAGGGGTGGGGGAAGCCCATTAAGCAATCATCCTCATGCATAAAAGAGGGTGAAAATCAGTGCACCCACTGCCAGAAAAGGCTTTTTACTTTGGGAGGGGTTGAGTATGGAGCAGTGTTTGGTGTGAGAATGGCCACTTTGAAGGAGACTTCTGTAAAGTGTGCCAAAGCACCTATCATGCTATGGAAAGATTTTGCTAGTGCAACAAAATGTTAGGGTCACTTTTTTTTTTTTTAAGTTTCCACTGTCTGAAATTTCAACTTTTATTTCTCCCTCAAAAAACTAGGGAAATTTCAGCTCTACCATTGAGGATCAAGGCATCTTCAGTTGGATTGGGAATGATTTCTGAGATCATGGCAAAATGCTGCTAGTTCAGTAGATAGTTCAGTTGATAATGCCTGAGCTGGGGAAAGAACATTAATTTGATTCTGGATAAACTTGGTCAGATAGCCCAATTCCTTAAAGAGATTTCCTTCCTTCCTTCCTTCCTTCCTTCCTTCCTTCCTTCCTTCCTTCCTTCCT